TTATTTGCCAACCGAACCGCCGGTTTTTGATAAAGAAAATGGCAAATTCTAGTGACCCTTTTATCAATCCGCCACCCGCCATGCGGTTTCTATTTTTCTCTCAAACCGCACCGACCCGCACCGCGCACACCCCTAGGCTGTACCTAAAAATGATGTCCCATATAGGGTGAGCAACACCCAGTAAAGATATGCTAAACATAATATGAGCAATAACTAAAACATTAGCATTTGATAAATGTTTGACTCATATGAACCACCCTGTAACACATTCAGTTCCATGAAAAATAATCTATGTGTATTCCACTTTCCTTTACTTATACAATTTTCAATTTATCCGCATGGCTTAGAACTTGGCCAAAACAATTTAAATGAAACTACATCTCATGTTAAAACATTATCCTTATCCACAATTCATTTTCAAATGAGATAACACTCATATCAAAACACTTCCGTAATTCACAATAGATACACATATTTGCTGTATCATTCTCATATTAACATACTTCCAATTAAAATGGTGAGATAAATTTTTTTTTAATTTTTTTTTTAAAAAAAATCAAATAATTATAATTTAAATGTGATATGTTATTTTATTAATATTTTAATTTATTTTATCTTTTTAAAATTATTTTAATCAAAAAAAATTCAAAAGAAAAAACATACCAAACGATAACTCTGTAATAACTTAATGCAAAAAAGTAATTGTCTTGAATTTTGTAGAATGAAGGCTATAATACAACACTATAAATTATAGGAAAAATTGATAGAAAAATAAATACAAAATCTATTGTTTTAGGTGTACATGTCATTAGGGATAAGAATTGATTTAATTTGGTAAAAAAATATAATTAAAAATTTATTTGGTAAGTGAAACGGTCCTGTTTGGTAGGGCTTATTTCTAACTTATTTCAATTTTTAGCTTAATTTAAGCTATTTTGATATATTTGGTTTAACTTAACAATACAGCTTATATAGCGATCCCGGTTGTCCCTTTACTGTTCAGTTGTATTCCGGACTCGGTTCCGTGGAGTTGGTAGTGGTATCTATCTTGATGTTGTCCTTTAAATCTATTTGTTTGAGTTTTAGGATGTGTTGGGCTTGGTTGTTACAGGTTGGTAGAGCTTTGGCTCCCATTGCTGTTGCCCAGTTTTTTAGTGGTCCACTCGAGCGGGTCATTTTACGCTCGAGCGGGGTTTACACCCTTCCAACATTTCGTGTCCCTGCAAAACTTCTGCAGGTGTGTTTTCTACGCTCGAGCGGGTTTATTGCGCTCGAGCGAGTTGCACTTGAGCGGGCTTGTTGGCGCTCGAGCGGTTAGTACCTCGTTGGTAAAGTTCTGGGAGATGAAAATCTACGCTCGAGCGGACTGGTCTTTCGCGCTCGAGCGGGTGTCCTTTGTCTTTGTGTCTTGGCACTCGAGCGGACATTATTGCGCTCGAGCGTACCCAATTTACTGTTCTTGACGCTCGAGCGTCCTGTTATCCGTTCGAGCGGGAATGTCGTATATCAGTTAGCAGTTGGGCGTTTTAAAATCACTTCTTACTTTCTCTCTCTCTCTCTCTCTTACTTTCTAAAAAAATATTTTTGAGAGTTTCTTTCTCTAGGATCTCCCTTCTCTTTAGAGTTTGATCTAGTTAGAGTGTCTCCTTGTCCTCCGGCCTTTGTAAAAAGTGTGTTGATTGTCGAGGGCTCCATTTGATCCGTGGATCTTTGAGTTTGAAGCATTTTGATTTTCTTCAACTTCTCCGTTTGAGCCCTAACTTCGAGGTAGGGATATCCTACTCCTCTTTATGAGCTTTGTCTTTGAATTTTAGTATTTTGATATGTTGCGGGTTGTTGGGTAATTTTGAGAAAGTTTAGGCCTTTGTGTAATTTTACAAAAGATGAGGTTTTATTTATAATTAAACCTATATGCATGTTTGGCATAGAGAAATGACATAGATGATGAAGTATGGATGAAAGTGAAACCTTGGGGTTGTTATGTTAATTATGAAAAAATGCCCTAATTAGTTGGATAAGTTAATTTGCATAATTAATTTTGAGAAATGAGGAATTGAATTGAGAGTATTCAAATTGAAAAGGTTATGGGATTAACAGGTGTAGTTGGATTCATTTAATCGCTCACCCAAGTTGAATGTTGATAATATATCCATTTAGTGCATTTATTTCCTGTTTAGAAATAACTGTTTTGGGCTATCGGTGGAGGATAACCATAATTGTTGTAGACAATGCATGATGATTAGGCAAACTAAAACTAATCGATTGAGTATGCTATCGAATATAGCGGTTGGAATAATACATCGACTTTATGTATTGATTGTTTATGTATATGATCTATGTTTATATACATTGTGTGTGTGGGAGGAGATAGGGGATGTACTCCACGATTTAGGGGAAGATAGAGATGGACCTCTAAGTCGGGTTGTGTGTGACATTGGTACAACACTAAAATGTGTATCAAATGTTAATTATGGAAGTGTTTAGATTGATTTGATATAGCACTAAAATGTATATCGTTATCAATTGTGAAGTATAGAAGTGTTTCTATGTCATGTTGATACAGCACCACAATGTGTATCGTTCGTATAGTATGGGAGTGGCATATGTGTTATTGATACAATATCAAAATGTGTATCCACCATGAATTTCGAAAGTGCTTTTAAGATGAGTCTTATTCTCATCAAGTTATTTGGCTAAGTTTTGAGTCTTGTTTTCAAACTCAAGTTGAAAAAGAAATGAGAAATGAAATGTAACATGGACTTAAATGTCATGAAACCGGAATGTGATATAAGTGAGTATATCGGTGTTGACCATCTATCAATTGCTAATCTTTTAGTCATTGTTCATAGCTGGTTTAGCGTATTTCTGCTGGGATGTGGCTCACCATTTATGGGACATCATTTTTCAGGTACATGTAGCATGCCACCTCCAAGGACATAGCTTGGGAGGCTAGAGGCAGACAGACTGCCTTTTGTTGTTTCCTTTCTTTTGACGTATTACATGTAAATTCAAGCCAAGGGCTTAATATGTATTGAGTTAGCACTCTTCTTTTTGTAACCAAGTGTTAGCTTGGAAAACTGTAAGCCCGTAAGACATTTGCTTTTGTTGTTAACATGTAACACTTTTGTAAGAACTACTCTGATTAATGGAAAGATGGTCGATTTCTTTGTATCAATGCATGTCTAAAGAGATGGGTTTTATGTATTATTTTGAGGGCGTTACAGCTTGTAACCTTTTGTAAGCTAAAAATTAACTTATTCTTTGCATGGGAAGGAGAAGTTTAATTTATAAATTAAAAATCAGCTTATGTTTATAGCTATAAGTTATAAATTGTTAGGTTATAAGTTATAATCACTTTCCCACGACTCTACCAAATAGGACCAATAAATTAATACTTTAAAGATTTTTTTATTTTATTTTTACACTACTGCTGCCAGACAACCATTGACCAATCGTCGAAAAATTCACCAACGCCAGAAAAATCATCAAAGATGGTCGGTGACAGTGAGTGGTGGTGACTGCTAGCAACAGCTAGTGATAGTAATAATTTGGACAAATAAGCAAGTTACATAAATAGATAAATGATGCATGAATAGATAGTGAAGAGATAGATGTCATAGACAGATAAATTGACAAATAAGTGATGTAGATTGATAAGTTTATAAAACTATTTATTAACTTATTGAGATTGATAAGTTTATAAAACTATTTATTAACTTATTTTGAATCAATTAAAATTTATATTTTATTCACATATTTATTTTAATATAGTATATGAATAAAGTGGGGAATATTTACGTATAGATTTTAATAAATAAATTTATTATTCAATAGGTCTTATGAGAAAAATTTGTCATAAAAAAAATTACTAATTGTAAGTTTTAGTGACAATTTATAAAAATTATGATAAAAAAAGTCACTAATTATCAATTTTTAACAACATATATAAAAAATTACTATAAAAAGATTATTTTTAACAATAATTTTATCAAGACTTATTTTCAATAAGACTTAATAAAAATTAAATCTAACTATTAGAATCTATTACTAATTGACCCTAAAATTGGACTCCATCGGTATTGGCAAAAGAATCCAAAGCGTAAGATAGTTTTGGTAGGCTAAGATTGTACCTAATGTCTAACCAGAAGCGGCCGGCTATGTATCTTCTGCTTGGCTCTTTAGTTTGGAAGCTATTCATTGAAAAAACTCATATTTACTATTTTGATCCTTTGACAATAATAAAAATCAAACAATTCTTCTACGTGTGCCAAATCGGAAATGGCTTATCTCCGTACTGCTATCCTTTATATTTTATTTTGTGAGATCCACTCTGAGTCTATAAAAATAACTCAAATCATCCATCTCGAGTGAAAATTGTGTACGTAAAAAATCAATTTCATCAAATATCGATAACTAAGTCTTGGCTTGGCTATCATTTTGAGGCTAAAAAAGCACAAAATGATAAAATAGGCTAAATAAACTAATAAGATAAAATATCACTTTCAACCCATAATCATTACATTTTTTTTCTCAAAAAAATCAAAAAATTAAAACCAAACAAGACTAAAAAAACCAAGTTAAAAAAGCTCCAACACAAAAAAAATTAACTATATTAACCAGTGTGAAGTGAAGTTTAAATGAACAAATCACATCTTTTGATGAATAGACGAATATGATCCATTGACAGGCCTAATGGGACCAAATAATAACCAACCACGACTTGACAGCTTGTTCAGTTCATATAACATTTGACATCAACAGCTTCAAAGAAAAACATCAGAAACCAACACACAAGATATACACACATCAAATTGTTGCAAAATCTGAAACCAAAATCAGAAGCCCATATCACTTTTTTCCCTTAAAAAATAACCTAATTACAACGGATAATTATTCAGTAATTTTGGAATATAGACACGTGATATTCCATAGTATTGTGATTGGTAGAGAAGGTGGATAGATAATGTATTATGTTGGATGATTGGGAAACATGAGGGACATATTGAATGATAATTGATTAATGAGTACAAACACGTGATTCTCTGGAAACATTCTATAATTTCCCAATTACATCAATTTAAAACTAGAATTCAAACTATATGCTATGTTTTTGTTTTTGGTTTTTTTTTAACCTCATTACTGAACAAAATTAACATGCCCATATCCATTAGCAGAAGGATGGTTGCATAATAGTACTGATATCTCAGAACAATTTGAAGAGTAAACCACCATGAGCAGCGAAGAATGGAGCGAAAACCAATGATTCGACAGCCATGAGCTTGATAAGGATATTGAGGGAAGGACCCGAAGTGTCCTTGAGGGGGTCTCCAACTGTGTCTCCTATGACAGCAGCCTTGTGTGCATCTGATCCTTTGGGACCGAGCATACGAGCATGCTCAGTAGCTCCAGCCTGCATGAAGCAGATGAAAATAGCAAATGAAAACCGAATAATTGGACAAAATTCAAGTGTCTCATTCAAAAAGTCAAAATGAAATTATGGACTAAAATGGCACTACAAAATATAATGTTGCAGGAGAAAAATAACTTCACCTCTATGTACTTCTTTGCATTATCCCATGCCCCGCCTGTGTTAGAAGCCGAGATAGCAACCTGGAGAGGGAAAAAAAGGGAAGGGTTTGCCACGTATCAGAGAATTGTTGTGACAAAAAAACGTGAATTTATAAGAAAATGGGACAATTATGTTTGAATATATCATAGTAGAGCAATTGGTAAAGCAGACATGCTTATTTAAATTGGACGAACCCTCATTTTTAGTCAAAAAGTCAAAAAGTTACTAAAATTAGTTAAAAAGCCAACAATCCATACAAAAAAGTGAAAGATTCTCTTTTCTCTCTACTTCTGCACATCTTTTCGTAAAAAGCTAAAAAGTCATCCCAAACATACTAGTTTTTTTTAACTCATATTTTAGCTAAATAGTCAAAAAGTTACTAAATTAGTCTGTTCCCAAACGAGGCTTAGTGCACAAGGGATGCATTGTGGCTAGATAGAAAGTTCAAGGAACAATTTTAGTGTTTGATGGCAAAAAGGTAATTTAAGAGATTTTCCAAGGTTGTCAGATCAGGAAGACCCATATTCAATCCGAAACAGACTAACACACAACCTCCTGTCAGATGGACAACAAAGTGATCGACGCTCGATTTTGGCCAAATTCCTTTTTCTATGCCTTTAAATTTGAAATTTTGACTATTTTTTTAAAGACTTGACTACTGAATTTAGAGATTTAAGTCAATTTTGTTTTGAATTAGATTTTTTTCGAGAAAGTTCATTTTTATTTTAGATTCCATCACTAACAATGAGATATCGTAATTTTGGCGTGGATTATGAAAGTGAAAGTTAGAAATGAATCGGAAGAAGAATTCAAAGGAGAAAAAAAAAGAAGCTACCTGCACGCCAGAAACAAGCGAGCCAGCAAGTACGCCAGCAAGCGTTTCCACTCCAAAAAGGGTTCCAGCAATCAGTGGTGTGAGCATAACAAGAGCGCCGGGTGGGATCATTGCCTTGAGTGAAGCATCAGTTGAAATCTTGACACAAGTCGCATAGTCTGGCTTTGCTGTTCCTTCCATAAGACCTGGAATATCATTGAACTGTCGACGAACCTCTTCAACCATTTTCAAGGCTGCACTTCCCACACTCTTCATTGTCATTGCTGAAAACCAGTATGGAAGCATGGCCCCCACCATCAACCCGATGAAGACCTTTGGAGTCAACACATCAACAGTTTTGATTCCGGCTCTGCTCACAAAGGCACCAAACAAAGCAAGAGAAACTAGAGCAGCTGATCCGATTGCAAAACCCTGACAAGGCAAAATGGCTCAACATTTCAGCAAATTTTGTTGTTTTCAGTGAAAATGGAAATCTAGGTTTCACAGATTTGTCATTACACATCACCTCTTGACCTATATCCTGTTTCTTACTGTTGGTTTAGACTGAAAGTTCTTACTAGCTGTAGAGACTAAAAGGCACTGACGCTTCTAAAAAGGTGGTGTGTCTGTGTTGAATATTGGCACTTATTAGACACTTTTTAACACGAAGGTGTCTTACTATTCAAAAATAAAAATTAAAATAAAAAATTAAGCCTAGGCACGATTCGGACACTTACGATTCAGTGATAATATACTTTAAATTTTCAAATTAATGTTTATGAAAACTGTATATCAGAAAGAAGCCTACCTTGCCAATCGCAGCCGTAGTGTTTCCAGCAGCATCCAAAGCATCTGTTCTTTCTCGTATCTTGTGGCTCATTCCAGCCATCTCTGCAATACCACCAGCATTGTCACTTATGGGTCCATAAGCATCAATTGCCAGCCCGGTGGCAATAGTGCTAAGCATCCCAAGAGCGGCCACTGCAATTCCATACATAGCAGCCAAGCTGAAGCTCACATAGATCGCGATAGATATAGCAAATATGGGAATAATGACAGATTTGTATCCCAACGCCAAACCAAATATCACATTTGTTGCTGCACCAGTCCTGCAAGAATCTGCCACATCTTGCACTGGACTGCAAGATTTGGCAATGACAAGAAGCATCACTTTTAAGATTTTCTGATCCAATATTGCAACAGAAAAAACATATAAATCTAAAGATTCTAAACATTTTGATCCCAATTAAATTCGAAATATGAATCTCATCTATAACAAAATCCCAATATTAAAATGAAGACTATGAACATTTCTTTTTTCCCAAACTTCATGGTTTTGTCTTAATTGTGGCAGTTGTTTAAATTTGTTTCGGAAAAAAAAATCTAAATCCGTGCTGGACCAGGCTGGTTTATCGACAAGTCTCAACCATGCCAAATATGTGTGTTAATATCAAAATCATATGCCTATTTGCTTGAAGATTGATGACAATTTACCTGTAAGCATTGCTAGTGTAATACTCAGTAGTATATCCAATTGCTAGGCCAGCCCACAAGCCAATGGAAACACATAAAAAGAGGTGCCTGCATTAGAGTAATATTTAAGCCAACATTATGTAATTCCATGGGGAAAGAAACACTCAGAGAAGGAAAAACCGAGAAGGAAAATGCTATACAACTAACAAACTTTACAAAAAAAATTAAATTTGTTAGTTTGTATAACGTTACTCAAGGGAGAAGCATACCAGTTCTTTACGAGCTTCTCGGTCCCAAAGTCATAGAGGGTGAACTCTGATGGTAAAGCTATAAAGGTAACTATGGCAATTCCAGCAGTCATCAGGACTGTTGAGATAAGAAGTTGTCGCTTCAAGGATGGTTCGATCTCACTGACATTCTTAATTTTCAAAATGTCAGTTGCAAATAGTGTAGTTATCAAGCAAACCACAATCCCCATCGAGCTTATAATCAGAGGATAAGACATAGCCGTGTAATTATGACTGATACCGATCGATGATATTGATGCAACGAAGAGTGCGGCACATGATGATTCAGCATATGAGCCAAAAAGGTCTGAACCCATCCCAGCAATGTCTCCTACATTGTCACCCACATTATCTGCAATAACCTGAAAAATGTACTACATTTGTGACACCAATCCACTTTGACCTCACAAACCATTCTGACAAATTTAAGGATTGATTTAGAAGTTTACAAACTGTTGGAAATATTTTTGTAGCCACAAAAATTTATGTTCTTTTAAATCTAAAAGTTGTGTCCCTAATGGAGAAAGACACTATAATGACTATATAAGACATTGGAGTCCTTTAGTTTTGAATAATTTATTTTGTTTTCCCTCTATTGTTTTTCTTTGATTATATTCATATATTTATAGGCAACTTCGATGATAGACAATTCATTGACCTTTGAGTGATTTGAGTTGTATCTTGAAGTTGTTCATTGTCTGCTAATACCTTACCATGGGGAGGCAATAACAACTTTAGGAAAGCAATTACATGCCTCTCATAATCATAAGCCAAATTTATCTGCTTTACTTTCGATTTACATTTTTACAGTGTATTTATTGATTTTCTGTGATCATGATATTTATGGGGGGTTTTCCCAAAAGAAAGTACCAGGGATAAAAACTTACAGCTGGGTTACGCGGATCATCTTCTGGGATATTTCGTTCAACTTTCCCGACAAGGTCAGCACCAACATCAGCTGCTTTCGTGTATATACCTCCTCCAACTCTGCCAAATAGCGCCATTGAAGAACCCCCAAGACCATAACCGGTTATAGATTCATAAAGTCCCTCCCAATCATCCCCATAGTAGAGTTTAAAAAGATTGATAGTGACATAAAGAACCAAAAGGCCATTGGCAGCTAGAAGGAATCCCATCACCGCACCAGAGCGAAAAGCTGTTATAAATGCTGTCCCGACACCCTTCCTTGCTTCTAAAGTGGTTCTGGCATTAGCATAGGTTGCGATTTTCATTCCAAGAAAACCGGAGAGTACAGAAGTGAGAGCACCGAGCAAGAAGGCAATTGTGGTAAAGATGGCATTGGCAAGGGCAGGTTTACAAAGGTTTCCTTGATTATATGTGCACGGTTCACTTTTGGTGCTAAATCCATTAACCGATCCAAGGAAAATGAACATGATAGCACCAAACACAACCGTGAAGATGCTAAGGTACTTGTATTGAGTAAATAGAAATGATGTTGCTCCTGGGAACATTCGACGCATCAACGTAAGTTTAGGTAAGATTATGAGATTTCTACACATAAGAAATTATCAGTTTTGGGGAAAAATGTTTATTGGTTTTACATTGAAATTTTCAATTGTTAATCAAAATAGTTAACCTGTGCTGATAAGTATGGAATTGTACATATATACACATGTCAAGGTCCATGTATGGATTAAGGTTTGTAGGAAAATTATTGTACTCAATCAGAATTATGATCAAAATACAAACAAAAAAAAAAAATCAGAATTATTCATGTCAGGAATCGTACTTCTCATCCTTTTACGTCTGCAACCAGCTTCATTATTGGTTTTTTTGGTCTTCAGTTGTCTTTTTTCAATTTTTATTTTATTTTTACTTATTAGGGACTTGTAGTCTAAAAGCACCTAAAAACTTAATAAACAAAGGAATGAAAATTGGAGAAGTCAACTAAAGATTAACATTTAAAAATAAAAAAAAATTGATTTAATTGAAAAGCAGTTTTTAATCACTTTTGTCTTTAGTGTAATTTTTTCAATTTCCATTCAATTTTTAAAAATATTTTAGTGACTTTTAAACTAAAAGTCCCTAAAAATGGGAAAAAATTAAATGAAAATTGAAAAAGTCCTCTAAAAACAATAGCCGATTAAAAAGGCTGATTTTTCATAGGTATGCCAAAAAAAAGAAAAAATGGGGGGCCTAGCCACCTAGAGAAAAAACAAGATAAAGATATAGTGTAAGAGTTCCCCAAAAATCTATGATTTGCAGGAAAACAAGAAGACTGAAAAGAGTTTTTGTGAATGGTAGGTTACATCAAAATAAAGGACAAAATAAAGAAACTTCCTTTTTTTTTTATAAGGATTTGTATTGTTTCTAAAAGTTTATGGGACCATTTTAGCATATGATCCCACTGAATTCATGGCCTATTTACAGATATGTAAGAGAAGGAATTAAAAATCTACTGATAAAAATTTGCACCCAAATCTTCATAGCCACATGTACAATATCTGAAGGACACAACCATGAATGCAGTCTTCTATAGAACATATTAGATAGATATGCAGATCAAGTAAAGTTGGTGAATCTGAAGCACAAAAACACAAAGAAAAAGCCAAGGAACACAGAATCGGGCACAATCTTCTCATACGAGGTGGGTTCCATCTTTTTGTGTGAGTATTGTGTCCAGTTCTGTGATTGGTTTTTGTGTAAGTAAAAAGAACTGAAACACAAAATAATAAAACCAGAAGCGCCTTGTATAGTGATGCCCCCAAAATCACTTGTTATATAAAAGTCATGTCTTGATTGTTAGTTTTACATATTTTTGAGTTGGGGAAGGGAGTGAAATCTTTGTGTTTAACAACTATAGTATTATCACAATGATCAGTCAACAAAGGAGACATAATTATGCAACAAAAATTGAAGAAAATGGTGATGAAAGCTACTAACATCAAATTTGAACAGTCACATTGTATTTTCAAGGTTACTCACTAGAGGAATACAATTTATCTATGAATATGAAGATCTAGTTGTTCAAACACCATATCCGTATAGCAATTGAAAAGGTGGGGAAAAAGAAAAACATGTAAAACCAAGAACAATAAAACAAAACATATATAGGAAAACAATCATTGTTGCAAAAAGCAGCAAATTCTGTTTCAAAAAAAGAACAAGAAAAAAAAAGGACTTTTTTTTAAAATAAGCATATGCTAAAATTAAAACACAAAAAGAAGTAAAATGATCAGAGCAGAACAATAAAGAAACAAATTGAAAGTTTTTAAACAGAAATTGAAGTAATCACAATGAAACTAAATGCCCCAACTTGAACAACACAAATGGACCAAAAATCAATCATGCTGAATTCCATTAATCACAATGCAACAAGGCACAACAACTTATGGAGAGAGAGAGAGAGAGAGAGCTGACCAACAGAAATGGCATTTTGAATCTCAGCACACTTGGCAACAGCCTCCTCAGAGTCAATACCCTCCTCTGGTTCATCTTCTTCGATCAACCTGTCCTTATATCCATCCAAACCAGACCCAATTACCCTCACCTTTGACACCAAAAACCACTGAAACAAAGCAAACACAATCCCCACTAAAGCAGCCACAGGTATCACAATCTGTGTTAGGTTCTCACCCATCAAACCCATTTCAAAAACACTCCCAAATGTGTTCTGTTTTTGGAAACTACAAGTCTATGGTGGCTTGTTTTGAAAAACATACAAAGATTTTGAAACTAGAACAAGAGAAGAGAACCTATATAGCTATTTTCCAAAGGGTATAATAAAATTAGTGGCTCTGCTTTGCATTGGGTCCCCATTTAGGAATTTGATAAACAAAAACAAAAACAAAAACAAGGTTGGTTTGATTGACAGATGGGCCAGTGGTGGTTTTCTTCCATGGAAGCTGTTTGAAAAAAAAAGGTAGGTTTGATTATCAGGTAGCCATTTCACATTTGGTGGTATTTACCAAATTTTACCTTCAATTGAATAGATACTTCTACCCAAATTCCACCTTCCATGTTAAGACCTCATTATCATTGAATTATGTAAAGGCTTCACGTGTAGCTCTTAATAGCTTGCACTTATTGTTTAATAACGTTTTTCATTAAATATTATTAAAAAAAGGTCATTAATTGTTAATTTTTAATGATGGCTTAAAAATTGTTACAAAAAAAATGTCACTAATTATAAGTTTTAGCGATAGTTTAAAAAAACCGTCACAAAAAAGTTACTAATTTTTAAATTTTAGCAACAATTTAAAAATTCATCACAGAAAATCACTAATTGTAAGTTTTAACTACAATTTATAAAAATTGTAATAAAAAAAAAGTTACTAATTATCAATTTTTAGCGACATGTAAAAAATCATTACAAAAATTATTTTTAGCAAAGATTTTACTAGAAAGTACTTTCAATAGAACTTGATGGTAATTAAGTTCAACTATTAAGATCTATTGATAGTTTATCCTATGTAATCTCTAAATATAATTCAATATTTTAAACGGTATAGTTTTTTTTTTTGAGTTTGAGATAACTTAAGAGATTTGTGGGACCCACTACGGATCTTGTTTAATGATATGAATTATTCATTTTGTAGGACCCTTTGTATATATTATCTATAAAAAAATAGATTAATTAGATGATTATAACCTTTTTCATTTTATCGCGTTTGTTTCTTAAAAAATGAATGACATGTTGTTTTAAAAAAAAATAGATGACAAATATATATTTTTACATAGATCATCTTTTTTTTATAGAAACCAACGCAATAAAATGAAGAAAAAAATACAATTATCGGATCATCATACCCGTAATTCCATCTTCCTTTTTAAAATATTCATTATCATTGGATTATGTGGAAAATTTAAGATATGTAAATTTCAAAATATAATTCAATAATTTGAGAACACAAGATCTTGTGCCCTTTTAATAGAGGGCAATTCACATATAATCCAATGCAAAAGAGTTTTTATTTAGAATAATATCATCAATATTTACAATTTACAATACATACTTACGATTCAATATTTTAAAACAAAAATGTCTAAGATTCCCTTTTTTTCTCACCCCCTTTGACCCCTTCTCTCTCTTATTGGTTGGATTTTCTTTTTCTTTCTTTTTTTTGTTTCCCTTGTCCTCCAATCACCACCTGCCACATGTGTGTGGGGTGGTGGGGGTGATGATTAGAGGGAGTCTCCATCACTCCTCATTTTAAAAAATAAATCAATACATATCAGGTTAAATTAAATGTATCTTATGGCATGTATCATGGATACTTTTGCATGCATCTTAAGTTAGTTTGTTGCTAAAGGTTTTTGGTCTTAAATAAATAGTAAACTCAGATATAGTTTTACTTTTCAAATGTTATGCTAGGTACAAGTATTCAAAATTTTTACTTTTCAATAAATTGTAAACTTAGATGTCCTTAAGTTTTGTTTTTTTAGTATTATGGTGAGTCTTAATTAATATAAATACTTTATTATTCAATTTTTTTTTTTTTTTTTTTTAAGAATGGATCTGATGAACTTTTCTTGTTAGGGAAAAAATAAAAAGCCTATCATGTTTTGGATAATTTTTTAATCTTTGGCAATGTGAGATTTGTTAAAATCAAGTAACATGTGGAAAAGGCTTGGGATGAGTTTTGGTCCACCATGAATGCTTAATTGATAGATAGGGATAATCCCACCTAGGACAGAGATTATTCATTAAATAGATTAATTAATAACAACAATGCTAGGTAGCTCAAAATTTTATGGTTCAAATGACTCAAATTACTCAAAACGACGTCGTTTTGAGTGTAAATGAGTGTAAAACGACGTTCTTTTGACAGATTTGAGCAATTTGAATCACAAAATTTTGAACTATCAAATATTTTGTAATTAATAATTGTTAAATTCTATATGTCAACTCACTTTGGATGAATTCTCATTAATGGATGTGGTCCCAAAATTCCTTTTTCATATATTATATGCTTTTTTTAATGTGCTAATGCATGAAAATTTATTGCTTGCCTTGTTGAATATTCTTAAAACTTAACAATGACAATTTATATTGAAATGCTAAATTAATTTAGGATGGCATTCCCAAGTCATAATTCAAAATTATGTACAAACTTTAAATATATATGTTGTTAATTAGTAACAATTACTTTAGAAGTATCAAGAAAATTACTGTACGTTTAAATAAAAATACAACAATATAAAATTATACATATATAATAAAACTTAGGATAAATTATAATACACCTCCTGAGGTTTGCTTAAAGTATAGATTGTCCCATGTGATTTGAAAAATTACAAATATCTCTTTGTTAGTATTTTTTATTTAACATAATTAACTACAAAAATAAAATTCACAATTGCTCTCCTATACAATAATAAAATTACCTAAATTATTAATTGAAACATATTTCTAACATTATTAAAAATTGTTAGTTGACTTGATGATTTATTAATAAAATGAGTGATTTATTATGAAATTAGAAATCTCAATAGATGAAATGTGATTTCTAAAATTACAAAAAACAATTCGTATTTTAATCAAACTGTAAGAGATATATTTGTAATTGACCCTAAAACTTAATAATAATGGCTACTGCATCAGCCAACTTTCGAGAAAGTTTTACTCAAATACTTGAAGGGAATAATATTGTCAATTGAATGTCATTGAACCACACAAGTATAGACTTGTACAACCTGGACAATACGAAAAATAAATAAATAAATAAAAATCAAAGTCCTTTACAATCTTGAAATATAATATTAGCAAATGCTAACAAGTGTTTTTATTGTTTGATATTAACATTTGCGTGAAATAGTGAAAAGGTTACGAAAAGTTTTTAAATTAGTTAAAATTATTTTGAACCAAACAACTTGGCCCATTTAGGAACATGTTTTTTTAGTAATTTTTTGACTTTTTGGCTAAAATATGATGTAAAAAAACTAATATGTTTGGGATGACTTTTTAGTTTTTTACGAAAAGATGTGCAAAAAATAGAGAGAAAATAGAATTTTTGACTTTTTTGTATGAATTGTTGGCTTTTTAATTTTTTTAGTAATTTTTTGACTTTTTAACTAAAAAAACCACTTGCCAAACGAGTTTGTATAATTCAAATAAATTATGAATAATGTTGATGAATCAATCTCATCTTATCTTATCTTATCAATGCTTGCTTAACTAATAAAAGTACATTTTTAACATAAAATATTAACAAAAATGGCCTTTACTGGAGCTTCAATTTAACTCAATCCACCTCAAAAGTCAATTATTTACTATTTCTTTGAACCAGTCGAATAAAACAAATAGTATGATTTGATTAATTCTCTGTCACCCATGTTCAGGGATGAAGCTCAACTATTGAGCCTAATATTTTGACAATTGCACCCAACTTGATTTAAAATTATAAATTCTTTCTTAATGAAGAAGGTTCATAACAACATACATAATAAACAAAGGTTTCTCCATTGAAATGCCACTTGGGTTCAAATCCTTAAACTAGAAGATATTGACCCTGTTTGGCAAAACATAAAAACTAGTTTTTTTAAATTAGTTACTTAGAATATTTTGAATAAGTAGTGAAAATGTTTGATATAACTTTGTGTATAAGATATAATATAAAAAAAATTAAATACAACATAAGAGCACTTAAAAAATAAGGGTCAAATCCATCACAAACTGCAAAAACAAAAAATAAAATAAAATAATAGTATAACTTTCAATAAATACTATCTTATTCCTCATCTAAGAACAAATGCAAAGTTATGGCCAATATTCAAATTTGATCAAACCTTATAGCAATTTTATGGGACATTCAATTGTAAATTTTCCATTCTCTTATTTTATTGTCAAAAGAGCATGCATATAAATTTTAATGCATCAAGGATAACACACATTCAACCCACCTAAAACACTTTCTTTCTTTCTTTTTTATAATAAAAATACCCTAATTTTTCAAATTATAAATTTCATAACTTTTGGTGAAAGATTTCTATTTTCTCACCACTTTTGATGTACATATCCATTTCCCTTTATACAAAATTGATATTGTTAGAATTATCTCATTAAAATCTATGAAACAAAACTAATGTTGATTATGAAATTAAAGAAACAGTAAAATTTCACTTCCGAGCTAACAGAGGGCATGATGAAATTTTACCATCTGTATCCAACACTAAAAATGAAATTTCACAGTTACCAAAAAAACATATATATATATATATATATATTAGCATGCAAAAATACATGAAATTATTTTATTGTTTTGAAAGTTCCAAACAAATGAATTGCAACAAATTTGTGATCAATTGAAGTTTAGAAACTACAAATTCTCTATTTACAAAAAAAAATTCACCACCGCTACCTTTACCACCATCAGCACATCACCATGGAAATACTAACAGTGAAATTCATCAAAACCATGAAATGCTTAAAATTGCTTTGCTAAACAAATACACAGTGGAAATGGCTTCAGCTGGGTAGTTTAGTATGCTTCCGCATCAACTGACTGTCATGTCATAAAAGCAAAAACAAATTTGAGCACAAACTTAATTAGTTTCCTAAGCTAATTTAGTATGAAGGGGTCAACTATTGATATTCTGAGGATGCAAATCATTAAAATCTATCAAACAAAACTAATGTTGATTATGAAATTAAAGAAACAGTAAAATTTCACTTCCGAGCTAACAGACGGCATGATGAAATTTTACCATCTGTATCCAACACTAAACAATGAAATTTCACAGTTACCAAAAAAACATATATATATATATATATATTATCATGCAAAAATACGTGAAATTATTTTATTGTTTTGAAAGTTCCAAACAAATGAATTGCAAAAAATTTGTGATCAATTGAAGTTTAGAAACTACAAATTCTCTATTTACAAAAAAAAAAATTCACCACCGCTACCTTTACCACCATCGGCACATCACCATGGAAATACTAACAGTGAAATTCATCAAAACCATGAAATGCTTAAAATTGCTTTGCTAAACAAATACACAGTGGAAATGGCTTCAGCTGGGTAGTTTAGTATGCTTCCGCATCAACTGACTGTCATGTCATAAAAGCAAAAACAAATTTGAGCACAAACTTAATTAGTTTCCTAAGCTAATTTAGTATGAAGGGGTCAACTATTGATATCCTGAGGATGCAAAATGTATAACACAATCGAATTACATATGAGACTATTGAATCAAATTAAGGGTAGGAGTCAATGATGGACAAAAGGAGGGGCTGAGCGGGGCAACCAGTTGATATTCTGAGGATACAACGCATATAATACAATAGAACTACTCAAATTTTGTGGAAACATACGACACAAATTTGTTTCAACAAAATCCGTGTAGTTCTATTGTGTTTGATGCTTTGCATCCTCAGAATATCAACAGTTGGCCCCTGTCAGCCCCTCTTTTCATCCTCCTAGGATTCCTGCCCTTGCCCAGTTTGCTTTTTCAACAAAATGTGCATAGTTCTATTGTGTTATATGTCTTGCATCCTCAGAATATCAACATTCCCCCCACTGACTCCCACCCGTACCCAGTTTGCTTCAATAGTCCCATCCAGCTGCAAAAAGCCAGGAAACTCTGCTGCAATTCAGTGATCATAGCAACTTCTACTTCCAAAACTCCATGTTCCTCAACATCACATGCTACCTGTGAGAGGTCATTTAAATCCTCAGCTGATGGCTCAAGTAAAGGGCTACATCAACCAACCCCTCTCACTCCCATAAATAGAGATCTCCATTCCAGAGCAAATATTAGCTTCCCTCAAGACAACCTGTGACAATAAGGATGGTGGTTTTCATACAGAGAGCGTAAGTTGCTAATATAACAGCATCAGTGCAAAAATTTTCAGCTTATCAGTAATGAATGATACAAATTAAGCGATCGGCGCTTTTTTGTCTTTATCTTTTTCACTAGCAGCTAACTAACTTTCATAGAGACGGATTTAACATTTAATTTAGTTTGTCAAGCAGACAAGCCAAGATTTTACTGAAATAAGTTTTAAAATAACTGATCTGTCCTAATCATCTGTTTTACGAGTAATGTAAAGCTTATAATCTGTTTTGGTTGTCTTGCAAGTAGATGTTGTTATAAAAGATTTGTTTCTAATAAATTACATATTTAGCTCATTCAGATGCACTAATCTGTATATTAGTCCTCTAAAATGTTTGGGCAAGTTTCACAAATGGTCCCTCTAATTTCACTCGAGTTTCAATTTTGTCCCTCACGTTTCAACATGAGAACACATTTGCTCCTCAATTTTTGTTTCTGTGTCAAATAAGGACAATAGAAAATGAAGGTTAAGTACTCAGACAGAAAATGGTCATGCGCGGCCATGTGCATCGCACATGACCATCTTTCAAGGGCAAAAGGGTCCTTCCCCCTTCTCTCTGCAATTCATCTTCTTCATCCCTCCCACCACCACCACCCACAGCCACCAAAATACCTCCTCTGCCACATCCCGGCTAACACCAAACCATCACCACCCATCACCACCACCAATACTCCCAAACCAGGACCAATTCAGCCACAAACCAATGCCAAATCCAGCCCCCTTGATGGCGAGATGGTGGTGTGGGATTGCAGGAATGGAGAGAGGGATGAGGTGAGTGTTCCTTGGTTATGAAGGAGGATGGGTGGGGCAGTCAGCCACAAAGGAGATAAGGTTGGTTGTTGGCAGTGGGCAGAGGAGAGGGAGAAATGATTTAGTGTGGTTAGGTGAATGGTTACAGAAAATGAACGGTTTTGATTTGTTGAGACAGAGTTTAAGTCGAAAAGACCGCTTTACCATTGAAAATTGGTCACGTGCAGTACATATGACCATTTTCTGTCCATAATTTGGATGGCTGTTAACAATTGTCCTCAATACACACATACACAAAAGGATGGCAATGTGTTCAAATTGAAGTGTCAGGACCAAATGGAAACTCCAGTGAAACTAGAGGAACCATTGGTGAAATTTCCCTAAATATTAATACCTTATAAATATGGAAGAATACTACTTACAAAGACCTATCAAAAAAGATTACAAACACAAAACCAAGCTGGTATCTTGAAAGACTGAAATATAAGAGATATCAGATGTTTCAATTAATAAACACTAATTAAAACAGAGCTTGCTGCAACGGGTAATAAAAACAACAACAATTCATAGAAAAATGCATGGAAATTGTCAATAATACTTGGGTTTCTAAATTTGTGAAAGTAACCCAAATTATTGAAAGAAATATTTAAAAAGTAGTATTAAATTTAGTTGTGTCCTAGTGTTCTTGGGCGTGAGTTTTCTTCAATGAATGAATCCGACACTTAAACACATACTTGCACCAAACACCCATAATCGAGTCGATGTAACATTAGAAATAGTTAATCTTTCTTGCTAAAGTATATATAGTCATGGTGGATCAGGTTGGGTTTTAATAGATAAATAGTTATTAAGGCCTTGTTTGGGAAGTTGGCTATTTTAGTTGGCTATTTGACTTTTTAGCTATTTTAGCCTGGTTAAAATAGTTGTGTTTGGCAAGATAACCCTTTTTTTTTTTCTTTTTTTTTCTTTTTTTATAGTTGATTTGATGGTTGTGAGAGAAAAAATGAAATGATTAAGGTTGGATGTGACATTTTGTTTTATTGGCTATTTTAGCCTATTTTTCTTTTAATAGGCTATTTTAGCCCAATCCTCCTCCCAAACAGAGCCTAAATATTACTTAAAATAGACAAATTGGCCAAATTAAAAATTATAGGAGACTAGTCTTAGTTTAGACATGATACTCACTTTTCAAAAGCCAATGTAATTGTTTGAATATTACTCAATGTTATTAGGCCCATTCACAAGTGGTCCAATTAAAAAACTATAGGAACCCATATAAGAAACCAATCTCTTTTCTCTAACAGAATTTAAGTGCTTTTAGCAAAAGTGTTTTTTGTTTAATGTGATTTCACATCAATCAAATAGACTATATTCCTTGTTTATTGCAAGGTTTTTTCAACATATGGTTACCACTGGCTTTTTAACAAGAGAACAAATTAAATCTTTGGAGGCCATTACAGGAGTCCTTCAATTTGAAGGGGAACACTTATACCGAGTGGGCTTTCCAAAATTTTTGGATGGGATGCAATTAACCAATTAAGATTTTTTTTCCCTTCTAAGTAATCAATAAAGAAATTTTTAACAAACTAGTGTTCTTCCAAATTTCCATTTTTTAAAAAGAAAACTAAGAATAAATGTCAACAAAATTGTGTGCACAACAAGAAAAAACCAAAAAGGAAGAAGTTTATTATCTTACCATGTTCTTGAGATCTCCCTTGAAAGTTACGGATTGATGATAGGTAACTACATTTAACATGGTACTGGATGCAGTGCTTGGCTTGCCCACAGTGGCAAAGGCGCATGAAACACAACTGGAAGACCTGTAACAGGGTGCTCAAAAGACAAGCTCTCTGCATGAAGTTCATGGCCATCATATTTTCTCCCTTTCCACTCAAAAACACCCTCGTATTTCACATCTCCTCTTATGGGAATTCCAAGATACTGGCAGTGCAAGCGAATTTGATGAGTTCTTCCACTTTGTGGGTATGCTCGCACCAAAATTTCGTCTTTCTTCACATTAGTGTCTGTTACAGACTTTTCTTCAACAACTATACCTTTTTCCTGATCCTTGGTGAGTTCAGATGACTCTTTGGAGCACCCCTGCCCATTTACCGATATTACTTCAAAAATAGTTTGCATATCTCTAACAACTGATCCACCAGGTAATGACAGACCAACATCTGATGTGGCATACACACGCCAAGCTCCAAACTTTGATCGACCATGACCTGACTTAATAGTGATTCTTTCCCATTCTGGAGCTTTCCCAACACAGAAAGCAATGTATGTTTTCCTAACCTTGTGGTCTGTAAAAGCCTTCACTAGCTTAGCAGCTACTTTGTGTGATTTGGTTATCAACATCACCCCACTTGTGTCACGATCAAGCCTATTAGCGAGATGGAGCTCTTGGAGGTTGACTTGGGTCCCTGAGATTCAAAACACGTTAACTCAGTACTAATAAATTAAGTTGACTCCTTCAACACTCTCATTTACTTTACATTGTTATATCTACCAATTCACTCTTCAACCTGTCTATCATTCTTCATTTTTGCATTCTCTCTTTTTCTTTATACTCTCTGTTCAGTTCCAAGAATTTTATTGAAAAGAAAGGAATGTGTACATATTTTATAAGTTACGTATGTATATTTTGAACACACATGATTTTATCATGTATATATTGCATCTACTATAAAATTTGACTCTAAATGAAAAGTTCACTTCAACAAAGCCAAATAGATATTTGGGACAAGGTAGAATGAGCTTTCATTCTTTTATATTGTCCCTACATTTTCTTCAGCCAAAAGAAAATGAAGTTGCCACCTCTAGCTGTTGAAAAAACCAAGGAGTTCACTTCAACAAAAGCAAATAGATATTTGGGACAAGGTAGAATGAGTTTTCATTCTTTTATATTGTCCCTACATTTTCTTCAGCCAAAAGAAAATGAAGTTGCCACCTCTAGCTGTTGAAAAAAACCAAGGAAAAGAAAGGAACTTGAAATCATGAACGTGTTAAACCTAAACAAATTCAACTTTCCAAATAAATTAAAAGTCGTAAAAAAAAAAATCATATTATTCTTCAGTCAATTCCTTTTTCATCCTCATCATAACATTTCTCAAAAAACTGAAAAGCTATGTGAAGCTATCCAAGTACTTAACTAACCAGAGTCTTCATTTAAGGGTTCGTTTGGGATGTTGGTTGGCTTTTTGACTATTTTAACCTGGGCTAAAAAACCTTGTTTGGGATGGGCTTGTTGGCTTTTTTGACTTTTGTGAGAAAAAAAAATAAAATTATTATGATTTGAATGTGAAATTTTGTCTTATTGGGTTTTTAGCCTATTTTGTGGCTATTTTAGCCAAGATTGGGATGCCAAACGAAGCCTAGGTTTCAAAATTCAATTTTGTCCTTTCCATTTCAATCATTGATCTCAGATGGCAAATAAATCCTTCAAAAAAAAATTAAAAAAAAAGGAACACATTAAAAAAAAAAGGAAAAACACTTTAGACTGTGTTTGGTTGAGGGATTGAGGAATATATTTTCTCATTTTCCATTTCCCTTTTCAAATCTCTTCCCAAATCTTCCAACCAAACACAGCGTCAATGCTCTGCATTGTCGATTTCTGTGTCATGAGAGCATGATAAAACTGAAAGGATGATTTGAACCAAGCACAATACCCTTGTTTAAAACATAATTCCTGAGGGTGTGTTTGTGCTGTAAAGATTTTCACAATGTTGTAATTCTTTTACCTTCCTACACGTAAACCCTAATGCTAAACGCTAAACCCTAAACTCTAAACATCTCCCTCTTTTCATCAAATCTTTTTGAAAAATTTCAAATTTATCCAAAAAACATCCTTTAAACATTTTTATGAAAGAAAATCATCTCCAATCCATATTCTCTTTAATATTACATCAAATTTAAATAAAAATATGATTTTTGGAAATTTGGTTCAGTCTTGATTTGGTGAAAACTTTGCTTCACCCTTCACTTGATAAGTTTGAATTTGATGGAGTCGTAGAGATGCTCTAAACAATAAACATAAAAAAAGGTATAAAGCAAATAGAAACCTCACCGAGTTCAGCCGAGTCATTGGAATCGTTGAGCAAACTCGGGATCGAAGACAAGACGGTCTCGCAATACACCCGCTGAGGCTTATTCACAGCAATGATCCACTCGTCCTCCAAGATCACATCAGTTCTAGAGAGAGAAAAAAGGTTCGATTTCGAAGAAGCTTCCATGGCTCTGCTCAGCTCCATTTGCTTGGACACGGCTGGCAATGGCGGAGACAGTGGCACTGGGTAATTTATTGCAATATTTGGGTCATTTTGTAACTGGGTTTTCTGAGATTCGAATTGGGTTTGGTCCGCCATTGAAGCAAACCTAGCGGCTCCGAATATTTTGAAGAGGGAAGGAGGAGAGAGAAGGCCAAGTGAAAGAAGACGAGGACAAAGGGGCATATAGACATCCAAGCAATGAACATTGGGGCTATTGCGTAATATATATATATATCGGTTTATTTCATTTTTGTCCACTAAATTAAAATAGATTACAAATACATTCTCGAAGATATACTTACCCGATTTGATCTTTATAGTTTTAAAAATTACTTCTCAAAATTTCTAATTTAATGACAAATTATCCATTTTACTTATAAATCAAGACAATTAATAATTTTTAATGATATCAGAAATTTATTTTAATTAATAATTCAAATAATTTTATCATATATAGGAGAACAATTAAAAATTTTATTTTTTTAACTAATTCTATCAAATAAAAAATCCTGACAATAAATATTTGTAATTTTTTAAAAAACCAGACAAAGTAATCTATATTTTAAGTAAAATTTCAAAAGATGTATTTATAATTTACCCTACATACCATTTGTAGTGTTTAGAAGTCACTTTTCAAGCAAAAATTGTTCAAATGTAGATTATGCTCAACTGTTTATATCCAATCAACTATTTTACATTCAAAAATTTATATCTGAATATTTAATTTTGTTTGGAAGTTTATATCCAACATCATTTGTGGTGTGTACTGAGATTTTGTATGTGTGCAAATAGAATTACCCAAATTTATTATCAATATTTTTTTTTATTTTATCTCTGAACTTTTTGTTTTATTTGTTTAGTCTTTAATTAGAGATAATTGATAATTTAAACAATTTAATTTAAAGTCATACAAACCAACAACTATTAATTAGTTGTGGGGAATAATTTATTTAAAATTATAAGAAAATTAAGTTTTTTTTTTTGTATGATTTAAATTGTTCAAGTTTCAAAATAATTTTTTTATTAAATTAAATTTCAGCAAATATTAATTTGTACAAAAGAAATGATATACAACTAAAAAATTTATATATAATGAATAGGGTTATTCTTGTATAGTCATCTTTAATTGAATCATATAAACATAAATAAATTAGAAACTTTATGGGTTAAATAGACAAAATTGATAATTTAAACATAGGATTAAAAAAAGAAGAAGAAGATAATTTACAAATACATCCTAAAGTTTTCCTAAATATGACCTTTTGTAATTTTGAAAATTGCTTTTTCTCCTTTTAAATTTATAATCACATATTAAACAATATATTTTTATTAATTAACTATTAAATCAATTAATAATTTCATTCTTTTATAGAATGATTGTTACGAATTTTATTTTTCTATCAATTCTGTTAAATAACAAATTCTGATAGCATGAAAAAAATAAATTATATTTTCAATAAATTCCAGGGGTGTATTTATAATTTATTCTATAAAAAAAATAGTTAGATAAATTACGAATACATCCCCTAAGGTGTGTTTAAAATACAAATTATTTCTTGTGGTTTGAAAATTACAAATACTCATTTGTCAAAATTAACCGAAAAAATAAAATTATTAATTGTTCTCCAATACAATAATAAAATTATTTGAATTATTAATTCAAATAAATTTTTGACATCAATAAAAATTGTTAGTAACTTGATGGTTTATTTAATAAAATGGAATAGTTGTTATGAAATGAAAAATTTTAAGAACGAGATGTAATTTCAAAGATTATAGGGATATTTGATATTTTAAGTAAATCTGAAGTATGTTTGTAATTTATCCAAAATAATTTTGGAGAGAGAAAAGTAAAATTAACCTTGTATATTTACACTTTCAACGTCGTCGTTTAGAGTACCATGTGTCTCTTGCAGCTTGAACCCATCTTGCTCGGTTAAACCCTTCATGGTTTGAAGCCTCTAGTCTAGAGATCAATCTGAGTCACTGAAAATGTCATCTTTGATACAGAAAAGATCATCACTTCTCCCTCAAACTCTTACCCTTAGGCGCCACTTTGTTACCCGTCTCTTTTCACCGTCTTTCTCTGAAACCCAAACATGTAATTCATCATCTTCCAATCGAAAACACCCAATTCATGGTTCTGGGTATGATTTTTTGAGGAAGCATTTTACTGGGTCTTCGTTGATTTCTGTTGGAAACTCAAAATTATCATCTGGGTCTGATTTGGGTCTCCTCAATTCAATCCATTTTCGATTGTTTAGTTCTCAGGTTGCTGTTGAACCCTCAACTTCTGATGGGCTTACTGTTGAAGGCATCATTGCCAATCAGTGGCCAATACTTGAAGAGAGTGAGAGTGATTGGAAGAGTCATGCCTCTGCAATTGCTCAGTCCATTCATCTAATCAAGAAACGGTTACAGGTATTCATTTACATGTACATACAACTGCACAAAAAACATATCTTACTCATGTTGAAAAGAATTTATTTTCTTCATGTATGGTATTGCCAATTTGTATTTTTGTGTTCAGACTTGGTGATTTTTCATTAAGTTTGGAACAAATTGTGGGGCTGTTTGGTACGGTTAGCTTATAGTTATTATTATTATGAGTATACTGTTTAGTGCAGCTTTGTTCAGACTTGGTGATTCTCCATTCAATTCGGAACAAATTTTGCTTCTATGAGGCTGTTTGGTGTAGCTTATATGAGCTGCGTATAGTTTTTTTTTTTTATATATATATTTTTTATAAAATTTTATTATAGAATATGTGCCAGACTATTTGTTGCAGCGGCTGCCTATGGCTTAAATAAGCTGGAAAAAAAAAGTTGATTATCTTGAAATTGGGTTTCTGATTATGAGCTTTTATCTTACAATAGGCTGCACGAAATGTAGACAAATTATTTTTCAGATCATGTGTGTATATTAAAATGCAGTCAAATATCTTTCTTTGCAGCTGTTCTCATCTCATATGATTTTTTATTTTATTTTATTTTATTATGCATGGAATATTTATGTATCTGCTTTCCATTGTTGTTTTTGGACTTGGTCTATTTTCCGTTCAATTTAAAGGTGTGCTTTGATCCCCAAGGGGTTGGCCTGGTGACAAAGTCTTGGGCCTTGGGGGTGTGCTCCCTCCAAGGTTCAGGGATCAAAATCTCTTAGGTTCTAACAATTTCTTGGGGCCATCGGATTAGGAAAAAATCTTTGAATTAACCGTGGTGCACTTGCGGGAAACTCATTGCCGAGGGCCTGTGCACCCTTGGGGATTAGTCGGACTTTGATCTGGACACCCCAGTGCCAATAAAAACAGACAAGGTGTGCTTTGCACTAAAAATTTAGTTACTTGGTCATATACATTGGTATTATTTTGTGATCCTTAATTATTTTGGGACCTATTTGGTTGGACTTTAAGCATATTATTGTTGTTTGTTGGTTATAGTGGAAGAAATTATTATTCAGATTAGAGTTGTTATCGTCACAACTAGATAAGCCAGACCTCTGGGATGATCCTGTTCGTGCTGGGAGGATAAGCCGGGAGCATGGTTCGCTCATTGGCAAGATGAAAGAGGTGAAGGCATTTGAGCAAGAACTGCTTGAGCATATTGAAATGATTAAGCTTTCTCGAGAAGAGAGTGATGCAGATTTGGAATCGGTGGGCCCTTGATTCTTTTAGGCATGTATTCATTCTATTTAATGTTTCATGTCTTGTATCTCATTTGATTTGTTGAAGGATCTTTGGGATATTTTATTTGCTACTTTTGTTGCATTAATTAGTCTCACACTAGTTGAGCATTCAATTCATTTGCATAGGCAGTGATTCGTTTTTAAGCATCCTATATCCTGAACCCATATTGATTTAGCCATCAATATGGATTAATTTCAACATTTAGAACTTCCACATCATATGAAACTTCAATCGTTTCAAAATTAAAAGTAATTAGGTTCTTTTAGTTTATAGAAACACTGAGTTTTTCTGTAGAACTTCAGTGATAAAATTGGAACCTTCACCCATAAGGCCAAACAAGTGATATGATATGTTTTCCTCTGATGATCAGTGTGTTCGGGTGTATATTAGTATTTGGCCATTCAGAAAAGCTGATACCAAATGGAGATGAGTTACATAACTAATGCAAATGTGTTGTTGTGTAGCGCTTAGTACAATTTGAATGCATTCGTACTTCGATCATCATGATGGTTTTTTCTCTCTCTCTCTCTTTTCTTGGTGATAATGTCATTTTTTTTCCTTGTAAAAGACACATAATTGGTAATGGAGATCCATTTTGGTTTGAGTTTGGACTGCTTAGTTAGTTGTGGATACCCATTGCAAGAAAGAGTCACATGGCTTGACAGGTTAAACAAGCTCATCTATCAACAGTGTTCTTGGGCATAAAAAGAAATTTATAACCTTACTGTTGACAGATTTGACAAGGAAAGAGTTAGATATTTATAGTATGATTAAGGCCTTGTTTGGCATCATCTAAAAAAGTCAAAAAGTCACTATCCTATTTAAGTCACATTATCTTATTCAAATCACATCACCTCTCTAACACATCATTTCAAACCCAACCCATATCCAACCCATGTTTCATAAAAAGTCAAAAAGTGCACTTATTTAGATCATCCCAAACCACCCCTAAGTAGATCTTCTAGAAAGGGGTGATTTCACCATATATAACTGTGCATTTGTGACACAGTAACATCTTGCGCGTCTGTGCATGTCTATGAAGCACGGGTACTCCGAAAATGGTGCCGTACGAGTACCGGCTATGTACCGGGTGTGGGTACACGTACCGGCTACGGCCAAAGGAGGTCCGGTACGTTTGGTACATTTGGGTATGGTGTGGGTACGGCTTGGGTACGCCGTGGGTATGAAGGGAGTACGCCGTGGGTATGTTTTGGGTATGCCGGGGCAAAAAATCAAATTGTAAAGAGATTTAGGGGTACCGGAGCAATTTATTTATGTTCTTTATTAAAAAAAAAATAAAAAATAGAGGATTATATTGTAATATTAAAAATATATACAAACCTAGGTTTATTGGGCATCGTAATCTTCAATCTCAGTTCTTCGAGGGTGTCGAGGGAGTCGTGGAAAGGGAGGGAGAGGGGGAAGGCGAAGTGCTCATTCCAGACGGAGCCACCAGAATCGTTGGACCTAGTGGCTAAATGGCGATCTGAATCCACCCAGAAGATCGCATAGGGCTTCAGGTCGCCGCTACGCCAGTTGACGTTCTTCAGCTGCTTCGCAGAGACAATCGTAATCACCAAATCCAGCGGCTTCTAAGCTGGACGGGAGAGAGAAAGAGAGAATGGTCTGCAATTGTCTTTGTTGGAAGGGGAAATTGGTCGTATGCTTTTATTTACACCCTCTCTGTCTTTGTTGGAAGGGGAAATTGGTATGCTTTTATTTACACACACTCTCTCTCTCTCTCTCTCTCTCTCTCTCTACAGTATAATAATAATATACATCGACTTATCCTTTTGAAGGGAAGAAAAATTATAAAAAAATAAAAATAATTTAGAATTTCATTTTAATGATAAATCAAACTTTAACTTTTAATTATTTTAATTTAAGTTTTTAATTTTTAAAATGATATTAGTTATTATGATCATTTGGCAATTATATTTAGTTTTGTAGTTTTCTTTTTAGTTTTGATATTAAATTTTAATTTGTAGGTTGGATCCTTTAACCATAATTATAAAAATAAAAAATAAAAAAAAATATCGGCGTACCACCGCCGTACTCGTATCATATTTTTTTTGAGTTTTGGCGTATCGGCATATCCGCACTCGTACCCGTACCGTACTCGTACCCGCACCCGTGCTTCATAGGTGCATGTAGACACATGCATACTGCATCTAAAAATTAATACATTTTGTGCAGGCCACTATATCAGCAACATATTTAACAGGCTTCCCTTCTAATTATAAATTCCTTATAGTTTTAAGGTGTAAGCTAATTAATCTAATCAACATCTTTTCTTATGACCTATATTCCATTTATATGTAAACTCCCTTCTTCCATTTGCAGGAATCATTTAAAGCTTTAATTGAGATGAGAAGAAGTGCAAAAGAGAAAGAGCTTGAGGCTTTGTTATCTGGAGACAATGATATTTACTCTTGCTTTATAGAGGTCACTTTCTCCACTTTTCTGAATCTTATTTGACCAATAAACATTATCCTTGCATTTTTGTACTTGTCTCCCTCAACATTGAGTCTAGTGAATGGAGTGCAATTGCACCTCTATTTGGTGATATCCTTTCCTTCCTTACCATGAATATGTTAAATATTGTGATTATAAAGTGGAGAAGATTGAAATTGGAACGGTGGTCATCTACTCCAATTGCAATATTAACCTTCTGGTACAAAATATAGGTTCAAGCTGGAGCTGGAGGTACTGAGAGCATGGATTGGGCTTCAATGGTCATGAAAATGTATAAAATGTGGGCCCAACGTCGTGGATATGGAGTAACCGTAGTGGATGAAATGCCTGGTGAGATGGCTGGAATCAAGGTTCAATTTCTTTCCATCTTTTTTTTCTCAATTTTTAGTTTTACTTCTATGCAACAGCCAATATTGGTATATGTTTTAAGTTAGGCGCTGAAAGAGAAATCATATTCTCCATAGATAAAACAGATTAAATTTTTGGTAAAGAAGAGAAAACCACTAATGTAGGACAAGTCCATGGAAACACTCTACCAGCGCTCATACAAAATTGATGTACGATGCCACTAAGAGTGTTTTTGTGGCTATATTATTACTTTTTTCGTGCTTAAAGGTTAGTAAAAACATGGAGCTTGAAGGTTTGTCAGTGTGTATACTTCCTTTTGTACATGGATTGTACCCCATTTTTAGCATATCCTTCGGTGAGTTGCTTTTCTATCACCAAGAGAGATAGAGGGAGAGTGGGGAACAAGAATCTGGGGTTATAAAAACTTTTTGTGGCACTTTTGAGCAGCAAACAACATCCACAAACAGTAATAAAGGTCTAATTTGCATTCTTTTGGGGGGTGATGTAGTAGATGGTTGAAAGAGGAAAGGGCAGGGCTTGTCAAATGGGAGTTTCTAAGGGTTGAAAAAGGTGTTAATAAGGTTTGATTTCATGTTTTAGAGGCTTAAAAACTGTATATAGGTTAAAAGTAGAGGAAGAAGCACCATGAGGGTTATATTCCTTTTCTACGTCACACCTAGTGTTCAAATGCATATACAATCCTAAAATAGAATAATTGTTGAAGATTTTTTAAAAAAATTGTCACACCCCACCCCGGAGGTAGCTGACAAAATTACCTCAGATAAGGTGGAATCTATACATTTGCCACGTACACTTCAAGGATACTAATAATAGATACAAACAAAAACACCGGCCTGGTGTAAAGAAAATTCAACTTCATCCTACAACATATATACAAAATTTAGTGCGGAAAACATTTACTCAAAAACATTTGCAAACTAGGGTGTAACTCCCACCTATGTACATATATAATATTTACATAGGTGGGAACATAAAACCTAGACTTGGCAGTGAACCCATATATCTCTTGCACACCTGAAACAAAAGCACAATAGGAGTGCGAGCTATCAATAAGCTCAATGAATGTACTAATTCATGATAATAATTGAAAAGAGAGATAAAAAGCTCAATAGCAATTAACATTCACTTAAGTACATCTCATGCATGTTACGCAGCGGCCCCAGGCCATCGATAATATATAATTAGCCTCAAGGCATCGTACCCAGGACAGTTTATTAAACATCTCTAAGACAATGTAATATAATGTTCCCTGGACAATAAGATGTAACATCTCCATGACAATGCAAAGAATCAGCCCGAAGCCAAATGAATTTGTTACATCCATTAACAAGCATCACATGAATAATCCAATTAATACTAAATATGAATTTATACACTCACCTCAAGGATCAATACCAAATACTACTCGCAAGGTCACTTCTTAGGTGAAGGAGTACTTTTTGTTGCTTCAGTACCTAATATATTTAGCGCACACTTAAATAGATGAAAAAAATATGATAATTGAATGCTCATAATATTGTATCACGATGAAAGAGAGAAGTCATAATACTATTTAAGATAAATGGGGTTTGAACTCAAGGTTACTATGACATAGGTGCACTTTAGAAAAATACTTTTAAAATGCTGAACATCTAAATGTGATATTGATACATTGAAAGGTGAACTTAAATTGCTTCAGAACTATAGCTCGTGAGAAGAGAATGGAGTTTGGACAACAAAGTGTGTCCACCCGAAGAATGTTTAATAACAGAGTTGTAGATGCAGTTTTTGGGTCAACTTTGAACTCAAATCTGTATTCACTCAGCTGGAATTAAAATGCAAGACCTACACCGTTTGAAAGGTATCTGAGTCTAGTTTCTAACAAAAAAAACAGTGCGTGATTTCGAGTTTCCTAGAGAAAGCGATGCCCGTTTTCCCTCGGCTCGACAGTGTTGCCTATTCTACGCGGGTTTGTATTCCGTCATTGCTTTCACTCCCTTCTTTCTTTAAGTTTCTAACCTTCAATTCAGCACCTATCAAACTAGTTTCCACATAAGAATTGACTCCCAGCAAATAAATCAAAATAGAAATCAATAGCAACATTTGGCATCAATTTCCTGCAATAAACTTCGTATAAATTTTTAGTTCCCAACTCACACCTTTAACATCTAATGGCAATAACACAGCTCCAAACACCAATTTCATTAATTAGACATCTAGACCCAATTTTTAAATACAATTCCAGCACCTAGAGAAGTGTATTCAACTTCTAAGAATTAAATTTCTGCAATATATGTTCTTTTTTTTCTTTTCTTTTTTCTTTTTTTTTACAGCTTAAGCAACAACATCAACAATTAAGCACTTTGCCCTAATTTTTAAATAACAAATTCAGCAATTAAAGTGTTCTTTTCCAGCAAATTAAATCTAAGAACTAAATAGAATTCTTCAATCTCTTAATCAAGGCAAACTTAACCAAATATAAATAAATTTAAAGATTGAGAATTATCTTCACAAGTTAATGATGCTTTAATTCAAGCTTCCTCTTATCTACAAATATATACACACGCACACATATATATATACATTACATAGCTTCAAACCCACAAAGCATATATAAAACAATCAAACACAAAACATGATTGATAAACTAAAGAACATGGCACCAAAATACTTTTACAATTCCTTGATTTCCCTTTTCCCCCTTTTTCCTTCTTTTCTTCGTTTCTTTCTTCCCACTACAATTTCACAATTTCTTTTTCTTTTATTTTTATTTCCCAAAGTTAAATACATCTAATAGAAGTAGGAAGACAAAAGAGTTGGGTTGCTAGGTGTTGAACATGCAAGCAATTGCACGTGTTTTAATGAAATTCAAAACAAATTTTGAATCTCTTCTCCTATTTGCATTCTCCTCCCCCACAACTTCTTAAATTGCAGTTAAACTATTATAATTTATTATAACAATTATGTTAATCATCCCTAAAATTTTGTAATCATAACCAATGTTTTAATTAAGTTATAAACCTCTATATTTTAGAATGTGAATATTACAAAAATTCTATGAAGTTGTTATGGAGGTTTGTTGTTGAGGATGAGAAAGGTTGTGGAGAAATGTAGTGGAGGGAAATATTGGCATACTTGAGGGTAATTGGTCCACAGGAAGATTTGTGGGGCCTTATAGGGTGGGTATTTGAGAGTTTGGGAATAATTTGCAAAGAAAATTGTGTGCAGTGTGGGTAATGGAGTTATCATGAAGTTTTGGCTTCATTTCTGGTGTGATCATAGTCTCATAGACCTTTGAGGGAGGTGTTTTTTGACTTGTTTGCCTTGTCAATAGATGAGAATGTTTGTCTGCAAGACTGTTGGTGGTTTTGGATAGTGGTGTTGTGGAATTCGTAGTTTAGGAGTGCTTTGGAAGATTGGGAAATCTATCTAAGAAAGCTTCTTTTTTTTTCTTTTTTTTTCTTTCTTTCTTGTGTGTGTGTGGGTTATATGAATGGGGGAAGATTGTGTGTCCTTACTGAAATTGAAGTTTGAATTTTCTTTTCTTATATATATATATATATATATATCTTTTTACTCATTATCTCTGTGGATCTCTTGAAAAATGGGCTTTGGTTTTCTGACCTTGAGCAAATCTTTCTTTTAGCGAGCAACAATCAAAGTGGATGGGGAATATGCATTTGGGTATGCCAAAGCAGAAGTAGGAGTCCACAGGTTGGTACGTATTTCACCATTTGATAGCGCCAAGCGCCGGCATACTTCATTTGCTGCTGTGGCTGTAATACCGATCTTGGGTGATGCATCTGCCCATGTTCAAATTAATGAATCTGATCTCCGAATTGAGCGAATGCGAGCTGGTGGAGCTGGTGGCCAGCATGTCAACACAACTGAGAGTGCTGTGAGAATAACCCACATTCCTACAGGTGTCACTGCTTCTTGTCAAAATGAAAGGTGGGGTGTCCCTTGTGTTTGGCAATGTAAGTTATCTATGAAGCATGTGTACAGGTACTAGTACTAGTATGGTATGGGTACATTAATATGGTAAAATTTTAAAAAAGTAGGGTACGGATACAACAAGGTACATTCCAAAAAATACATATTTTCAATTTAGATTAATGCAAAAATTAATTAGATGATTTGGTTAAAATTCAACCTACAATTCACATTTAATGCCAAAAATAAAGTATAGACTAAAATTAAATGTCTTATATTAAATAACTTACAAGTCAAAACTTAATTTTAGAATTATGCCAAGCACTAAAAAAATAAAGAAGTTTAATAAAACTAAATTCACCTTTATATAGAAGAAAATATTATTCCGGCTGAGGTACAACTTGGGTTTATACTAGGTACCTCTGGATTACGGCAAAAATTAAGAAGAAAAAATTTGATTATGTGTTTTGTGTACCTAATACATAGGTAGAAATACCATGCAAAGTACTAGCATCTATTACGGATTCGACATGTTTGTTAAAGTACCCATGCTACATAGTAAATTATGGAGCTAGAAGTTGACTGCTCATTAATTGATCTGCTTTGATACTAAAACAGATCACAACATCAAAACAAAGCTTCTGCCATGGCTGTTCTTCAAGCCCGCTTAGACCAGCTTGAGATGGCTCGCCAGGCTCAGATGAATGCACAACATACGCAATCTCTCACAGAAATTAGTTGGGGCAACCAGATACGCACTTATGTGCTCCATGTATGCAGAGGGCTTACAAATATTTGTGGGTTAATTACACTTTTCAACCCCTTATAGTTTGATCCAAATTTCATTTTAGTCCCTATTGTTTCAATTTGAACAATTTGGTCCCTACACTTTAGGTCCATTTTCAATTTGGTCGTTCCGTTCAACTTGAATGTTAAAATTAACACTTTTCAATCTCCTGAGGTGTACAGTTAGAAAAAAAATTAGCAAATATTTGAATTGAATGACCAAATTGAAATTGGACCTGTAGAGACCAAATTGTTCAATTTATAAAGATGGGGACCAAAGTGAAATTTAGATCAAACTACAAGGGTTAAGTGTAATATATCACTTTTTTTTAACGGCTAACATTGACTATACAACCACCTTATTTGCCCTTCATGTTTTTTTGCAGCCTTACCGCATGGTGAAGGATCTTCGAACTAACTATGAAGTTTCAGACCCGGATTCTGTCCTTGAAGGAGACATCGATAGCTTCATCTTGAGCTTTTTATCGGCAGCCTTGGATAAAGATGAAGCTGACATGTAAGATGAGTTCAATCTTCAGTGAAATCTTACATAACAAGGGTGATAGCTACATCTTGAAAATCTAACAAGCAATTTTGGTTGGCGGACACTGATGCCCTCTTTCTAGACAAGGGACAGATATTGTGAATCTCTTATGTGATCAGAATCAACAGCATTTGAAATAATGAATTTACAGATAAAATTATTGGTTGTTATTCATAGTGATAGGATTTGTAGAAGTAGTGAAAGGATGAAGTATTCTTTTCATTAATTTCTTCTGCATGACAGACCTATGTATATATATATATTTTTAATTAAAATTCTGGTAATGTCAATAACTATGTAGTTCATTCATAACTCTGAACTAAATCTAATTAGTTTTGATCTAATTCATACAATACTCGAGGTTCAAAAGTAGTTCTTTATGTATTTCTGCAACTTTTTATTTTGTTCCTGCAATTATGAAGCCAACATGTATAAGGTCCTGGACTTTATATAGGTCAATACTCTTTGTGACTCCTTCCATTGGGGTCTCAGCTTCTGATTTTGGTCAGGCAATCCTCAAAAGTGTTTGGCAGGTGAGGTTTGAGCAAGTTCATATAGATTGAGGTAATGCAAAAGGTACTGGTCTGCCATGATTAATCTCAAAGTATTCATGGAAGAAGATTAAACTACTGATTCGGCTTTCTTGCCTTTGTATGAAAAGTTCAGCATTGGCAGCCTATGGACTTCTCATGTTGAGGAAGATAGTTGTTTTCTTTGGTGTAATGTTGTTTATGTTGAATCTTGACAGCTTGTGTCCTTTTGGTTTTTTTGGATTGCTTGTTTTCTAAAATGTTAGTTTTGTCTCATTGCTTTGCTCTTCAATGTGCTTTGAAGTTGTTTTACTTCCCCCAAAATAAATGTCATTTAATTTTGGTTCTCCTAGAAGTGCCCGATGGGTTCTCTCTGAAGTTTCGTGTTCCAGCTTGGAAGATAAAATGAACAAACTTCGGCTACTTGAAGAGTGAAGAAGCAGCTACCATGTGTCAATGCAATACTGACCCAACTAGCAACCTGAGCTTGTAGCCAACTCCTATTTACTAATAGCAACCAAGCCAGCCGAGTCATTAGTTCCACAGCTCTGGGCCAACTGTTTTATACTTTGGTGACATGGAGTCAAACCAAAGCATCCCTTTGATACTTTTGGGCATTCAGAGAGTGAATGTGCAAAATTGCTTGTGTCGACTATCTATTGAGAGAGTTCAAAGAATCTTCTTTTGAGCACAGTTGAAAGGTGACTCAGTAAAAATTCACTACCATCTTTCTAGTATGCTTAGCTGAAATATCCTTTTTGTTTTCATGTTTGGTAGTTAGTCTAAATGAGATTTTCCCTGATTTTTATGCATTTTTAATAAAACAAAATGAAATTTCATTTCTTGATTGAGCTTAAAAGAAAAAGAATAAAATAAAAATAGAGAAACACAATAATCTACCCAAAAAGCTACAACACCCTTACATGGGTGTGGGCACCAATTGTGTGCAGCAAGTTTGAGATAGAATAAAAACCCTCATGAAAAGAATACTCCAAAAAACATGTGAAGATTGATGCTTTTGCTCCATAAGAAGTACATCAAATTGCATATGAGTAACAAGAAAGTTACTCTCATGCGCAAACAAACTACAGACATAAGAGACTCAACCCTAGATTTTTTGTTTTTTTGACATATATCAATCCTAGATCTTAGTGTCCCTCCCATAACAAAACAAAATTGGAATAAATTACTCTAGAAATATAACTCAATCGGCCAAAATATAACAAAAGGAAGTACTTTATTAGCCCTCCAAAGAGAGATGCATTCCAGCCTTGTTAAAGAGAGAGAGCAGGTGCATGAAATCTACTTGTGTGAGCTTGGAGGACCTCTTCTCTTCAAAAGCTCCTTGCTTCAACACGCCCGTAATCTTATCCTTAAATTCAGAGTCTTTCGTGTCCCCATCCTCAACTTCCATCTCCTCATCATCTCTTCCATCATTGATCTCTACACTTAGGTAATGACAAGACAGATATCTGTTTAAATATTGAACCTAGGGTCTTGTTCTTTCTATTGAAGCAATTTCAGACTAAACCATCCCATTCTTTAAAATTCACCGACGTCTATGGTTTTCTAGGCTCGATTCTCACTATAGAAGAATCAACATCTGGTGGAGGCTAGAAGTTGTTCTTTCCAACTTTCAGTAAATGGGAAATAGGAGTTAAGAGTTGGGTGTATTCACAGATAAGTGACAGTACAAAGTGTCACCAGGCTGAGCAACAAGTCTCATGGCAAATTCCCTTTAGAACATTATCACTGCACTCCTGAATAATGGTCGATGGGACAACAATTTGACAGTGAGTGGAGAGGAAATTTGGCAAGGGATGTTCACAACACATATCAAAGTATGGAAGATCACACTTGAGCACATCTCCTTGGATAACCTGCAACACATCGTTGTTTCCAGAGACGAATCAAATTTATATTCTGTACGGGGAGGAAATAATTCTCCTCGTATAATCCTGTTGACCAAGTCCACGCTCCTCCGCACGACGTCGCTTTACCACCTGAAAACACAAACGTGAGCTAGCCGGCGGGTGTGTGCCGGAAACCTCTCCGATGCCTAAGTCAGTAAGCTTGACAAATAGACAAAGTTTTATGTTCTCAGAAAGAATTGTGTTCAATTACCTCCCTCAAGGTGGTGTTTGTGAGCTTTTATAGGTTTCGCGTGGCATAATCCTAGTAGGACTTTTATTTCTCCATGCAAAGTCCTCCTAGGATTCATACTCCTAAGGATAATGCTTATCCTTTTACACCCTCCCCCACTGCTTAAACCAAGTGGGATGGTTTTCACTTTGGCCGAACTACTATATGACCGAAATAAGCTTAACTACGCAGAGCCACAGAGAAGGCCGAACTGTCCTTAGCTCGGTCTTCTCCTCCAACTCCTTATCTCGGCTTTCCCCTGTTCAACCGTGATGTGTTTAGATCAAACTTCCAAGTAAAAAGTTCTGACCGACCTAACCATAATACGTCACGACCGGACTAAATGCAAGGCCGGACTCACTTCAAACTGCCACCGGACCGGAGTTGCTATACACACTCTTCAACCGGAGTAACCACACCTCTCATGGGCCGGAATAACTTCACTTCTCCAGGGCCGGAGTATCCATACCTCTACTGGGCCGAAATAACACTACGGCTTCTTACCGATTCTTCCACACTTTGGGCCGCATGGCCCAACTCACAGCTCGGCCCAATTCTTTCCCAAAAATTACCCTCTCAATTGCTCCTTAATTTCATCTGCATAGCATGATTGAGATTACAAATCCTTCAACCGAGCTGAAGTTCTTACAAGCCTTTCCAGCCGAGATAAAAAACCCTTCAGCGTATCCAGCCGACCTAGTTTTATTCCGAGCTCTGCTTTATCCGGTCAAAAAACGTCTCTTCAATCACGACTGTAACGCTTCCCTTTCCCTTGCCACGTGGCGGGTTCTGATAGGCTGTGAGCTGTTATCATGCCGCCTTTGTACTTCGAACTTTTTTAACAGTCCCGCCCCTTTTTGCCGCTTTTTTCTCTCTCATCTTTCACAAAACAACCTTTCTTTTTCTTGAATCATTCACCTTCCATTCTTCATCTCTTCTCTCTGTGTTCTCGCCGTTCGTGTTCTTCCTTCACTTTTGAGAACTGATTTTGCTGCCATTTTCCCATCATCAAATCCCTCTTCTTCCACCTGGTAAGTAGACTCACTTTGCTTCCTTTATTTTGCTTTTGAATCTGTATAGTTTTGTTTTGCATGTTTTTGGCAAACATTTTCTTTCATCTTTGACGCTTCGCTTCTGTACTTTCACGAAAAAATAATAGCAGAGCTTATATATGCATGAACTCCTGTAAAAAACTTGCCTCAGATCCAAAACTAGGTAGCAACCGAACTAGAATCCTGTTTGCATTACATAGGTAGATCACTGTAGTCAATAACCGAACTAGAACTTGAAAGTTTCAAAGGGTTACCAGAGCCTGACTCACTTTAGCTGAAATAAGATTACCGAGTTTTGAATATATCAAACTAGGAACTTCGGTTTTTAACCGAACTAAGCTTTTGGGGCCAAGCCGGCTTCCTTAGTTCCTAAATCGAACTCAGAAAGCCGCCCCTAGAGGCTTAACCGAAGTAACTTTATTCACACTGCAACCGATTTAGGCCTTGGGGCTAAACCAGCTTCTAAACAGAACTCAGAAAGATGCCCCTAGAGGCTTATCCGAAGTAACTTTATTCACACTACAACCTATTTAGGCCTTGGGGCTAAACCAGCTTTCTTAGTTTTTTAGACCGAACTCAGAAAGCTGCCCCTAGACGATAAACCGGTCTAATGAGCAACCTGCTCAAACCGAGCTACTAAACCTTTTGATGAACCGAGATAGAACCAGTTTTTTGAGGCCGAAGTAGGGCTCTTATACCTTGCTTTTAAATTGTAGCACGGTCCATTGATCAGTGCTTTAACCCCCTCTGTTTTTTACTTTGCAGACTTAGGTTACCCAGGCACTCCTGCGTGCGCTCAACCGAGCTACTGAGCATGATTTTTGCACCGATATAAATTATAAGTAAATTATACATCAGATGGGTAAGTATAGGTATCTAGTTGAGACCCCTGGTGGTATGGCCGAATTTAGGAAAGATTACCATATCCCTGATGATGTCCATCTGACGTTGGCCAAAAAAGATGTTATTCCCTGGGAAAAAGAAGGCTACGCCCTTTTACCCTTCAATCCATAATAGAAACCGGACTACGGTTTCCTGTCCAACCGTTGATCTGTGAATTTCTTAGGCAGACTAGATTATGCCCCACCCAACTGTCCACCAATACATACCGCATTATAATGGGAATAGCCGCACTGAACCACCAAACCGGACTAAACCTTGGCCTGTCCGAAATTTTCCATCAATACTCCATCGGCTCAAAAGATGATGGGTGGGTTTATTACCTTAGGATTCGCCGCCGCCGAGAGAAGATAGTTAAACACACACCGGACAAAGATGTCACGACCCAAACCCGGCCCTATGGGTTTAGCACCGTAACCGGCCAGTAATCCGAGATTACCGAAGGCCTGCAGGACAGTAATACAGTAAAACAAAGTACAGGGCCTGGCGGAAGCCAAAACAGTAAATAAACAATGCCCAATGAGCTGCGACAGTCTATATGAAAATATTTTTCATACATTTATACGTAAACAGTACAGAATGGTATGCACAATATTTACAATCATTCAGACTAGGGACTCAACCCTAGATAACAGTACGGTAAACATTCAGTCTATACAAAACAGTGAAACAGTGTAAAAATGGGGAATTGTAAAACACCCCTAAGCCCTAACACGTTAGGCTCGGAAC